TTTTTTTCTGATGTTATTTGAACATATACAAAAAATAAAAAAAAAACAATTTCTCAATGTCACTTTTTGAGCTCTACAAGACAAGAAAAATAAAAACTAATAAAAAGAATGAAAATGAATTTTTCTGGCATATCTTTGGAAGTAATTGGAATTTTCTGAATTTCTTTTAAGTAATTACTCTTTAATTGCGCAACTTTTCCCTAATTTGACCATCTTCGTATCTTCTCTGCCTCTATGGTTTCCCGTTTCCGAGATCCCCATGGTAGACCTTATCTTGGACACAGTGCATATCTTAACGTCAATTGCTGTAGCAATTGCATTCGTTTTCCTTCTCGCTTATTAGCATAGATAGAGAGTTGGTTAATGGACAAAAATGATCCTGGAATCCTAAAGAAAATCAAGAAACAAAATTTGCCCCCTATATAAAGTTTTCTAAATATGACGAAAAATAACATAATTGACGTTTTTGATTTTTGGCTTTAAAATCGTTATTTGGGGAGATATTTATAAACTAAGTTAGATTCAGGTTGTTAATTGATATTGCTTTTGTTAAATGTCACTCAAAATGTTTTTTTTTTAATTTTGACCTTATTTTGATTTTTTTATAAACCTGTTAAAATCGTTATTTGGGGAGATATTTATAAACTAAGTTAGATTCAGGTTGTTAATTGATATTGCTTTTGTTAAATGTCACTCAAAATGTTTTTTTTTTAATTTTGACCTTATTTTGATTTTTTTATAAACCTGTTATACATTTTTGAAATCAGGATTTTTTTCTCATTTCCATTATCTAAAAGAACAGAAATCGTTATCTAAAGAAAGTCTTTTTAGATTTTAATTCTCTCCCCGAATAACTATTTTAAACCCTAAAATCGGGAATGTAAATTATGTTATTTTTTGCCATATTTAGGAAACTTTAGAGAGGGTGTAAATTTTGTTTGATTTTATTTAGGCATAACTTTAGGATCATTTTTGTCCGTTTAACCACATCTAAGTATGCTAATAAACGAGATTTCTGTACCTTACCCGAAATTGGATACAACCTGTATATTAAATGATATTTTTCAAAATTTTGAAATGGCATGTTTCTACCGTCAGCCATTTTTATTGATTGGTACTGGCTGCCATGCAATAAAAACAAAATCTTCATGAATCTATGCCCTAACTATTTAAAAGCCGTAAAAAATAAGGTTTTTATTTTTGGTTCATGGATAAAAGTAAAAAAATTGTGATACATCAATGTAATCAGGAAAGATAATGCAAAAAATTGACGTTAAAATAATACAGTGTGTTGCATTTAAAAAATACGAACTTTGGATCAAATCTCAGAAAGGATGGGAATAAAAAATTTTTTTACTATTCAACTGGATTGTACGTAAAAATATCTAGAATGGTCAATTTTACCCTTTTTCCATCTTACATGGACAGTAAGATACGATAACCCAAAAAGTCAAACTTTTCGTTTTCACTCTGTATCTCAGAAACAAATGTAGCTACATTCATTCTGTTTGTGGTATTAAAAGTTTCACAAAAAAGTGGAGAAAACCGCAAGTCTCTATCTTTAAACACAACTGAGAAGTATTTACACTTTTGATGGAACTGTACTCAGCCCTGTCCTGGCGAATCATGGGGTGGTGAGTGGCCATTTAGGTATCACAGTCGCAATGGAGCCATGGACTGTAGAACAACGTGTGTTTACCTACGATTCGCAAGCTAAAAATAATGACTCAGTGGATGCATGATTTTTGCTGTCACATCAACGTTGGCTGTTCGTGTACCACCTAATGTTTTTTCATCATAATTTTGTTCGTGGTTCGAAAACTTCTAACCCATTTCATAATTGTTGGCCAATGTTTAAACTTTAAATCATTGCGAAAATCACGCTCACAATTATACAGGGCTGGTCATAGAGACGTGGCACGCCAATATTGCATTTTTTAAATATAATTCTTGTCTCAATTAGTCAATTTTACATTGTACATTATGCCTCTCACAAATTTGCTTAAAATTGAGAGAAGAATTGAATTATAGAATAATATATAGGATGTTTCATTTAAAAAAATGGAATTTTGGTGACCAACCCTGTATAATTAAAATTATTACTGTCTAGTAGGCATTTAAGAACCCTAAAATTTTCTTATAAAACTTTTTTCGATATTTTGTATATTTTCTCCAATAATCAACAGTTTCCACACTTATCAGCGACCTTGTATACATTCTGAATAAACTCGTAACATAAACTTAGGTAGCTACACACCTTGAAGAAATTGTTGTACAGTGGAGGAAAAAAAGGAATATTAACAAAAGCTTATCCATAAAATTTCAAGTCAGTATATTTAAATGAAATTTTGACTAAAACCATCAGATAATTTTGTGCGCATAAGCAAAGCAAAATTTGCTTCTAATAAAGTAGCATTAGTTCCTGAATGTAGAAGACTGGCAAAAGTGTGATAGGTGTGTGATTTCTATATTTTTCCGAAATACAGATTTAAAGAAAGCCGTTTCCGACCTTGCAAAAGAGGAGAACAAAATAAAATCGGACAAAATCGAAGTTGATCAGAAGTGCAAAACGTACAACGCACAGATTAATGAGCATAAGGGACAGATTCACGGTTATAGGTCGAAGGTGAGTTAGTGCTAAATTATGATTGTTGCGCAATGTTTTGCTTTGCAGTTGGCTCATTTGAAGCTTCAAGAGATACCCGACCAAGCCACAGAGGAATTGAAGGAGTTTACGCAAGATGAGCTAAAAGAGAAAAACATTGGGAATATACAGCGACAATTGACATTCCAAGAGAATCAAATTAAAAGTGCAAAACCTAATCTAAACGCAATAACAGTAATTTCAACTACTGATCCTATTGAAGTATTTTATCTGTTTTTAATTGTAGGAGTATCGAAAGAAACAAATGATATTTATTGAAAGATCAAAAGAATTAGATGAACTTTCTCAAAAGAAGGCTAAAGTTAAAGAGGCGTTAGATAATGTTAGACAGAAAAGGAAGGAGGAGTTTGCAACCGGATATAATATTATTCGATTAAAATTGAAGGAGATGTATCAAATGATTACTTTAGGAGGAGACGCCGATTTTGAATATGTTGATACATTTGATCCATTTACGGAAGGTATTCAATTCAAGTGAGTAGTCACTTATTGTCTGGTGTGGTAGGGTAGTTGCTGCCTTAAACGCCCTACTGGTTTTACTGGTTATTTTTATGGAGTATTGGGGTTTGGAGTTCTTTTTTACAGAGCTGCTAACTTTTTTGAATATGTGTGTCTACACAATGGCATTTTGGATGCTTGTATTTTTTATTTTTAAGGACTCGGTGTTATAAATATGATCACCTTATAGCTTTGGCCCCGCCCACTTGAAACTGATTTCAGTAATATAAATACATTAGTTACTGTAAATATGTCATTTTAGTGTACGTCCACCGAAGAAATCGTGGAAAAATATATCAAATTTATCCGGCGGCGAAAAGACGTTATCTTCATTGGCATTAGTATTCGCTTTGCATTATTATAAACCGTCTCCCTTATACGTGATGGACGAAATTGATGCAGCTCTGGATTTTAAGAATGTTTCCATTGTGGCAAATTATATTAAAGTAAGTAATAGAATCATGTAAATGAAATTACATTTCTCAATTACTAGGAACGAACAAAAAATGCGCAATTTGTTATCATCTCCCTAAGATCCAATATGTTTGAGCTGTCCGATCATCTAATTGGTATATACAAAACCTTTAACTGCACTAAGTCAATTACTATTAATCCAAGAGTGTATGATAAACCGAAGCAAACCGCCATGATTCCAGAACCACAGCAAAATGGTAATGATGATATAATCGAAACACCACAAGGAGTTGCTTCCGAAGACAAGGAAGTTGAAAATGAACCAAATGAAATTGAAATCAATGGGTCACAAATGGAAGTTGATGAATAATTTATTATCGAATTTTAATAATGTAAAGATTTTTATATTTTTCTAATAGAACAGTGTTAATTACTTCTAGGAAAAGTTTTTCTTTCTTAGCACTGATAAAGAATGTAGTGGTTCATTTTTTCTGCAAAGGAGTGTTTTAATCATGTCTAAACGTTGTAGGTATGTGTTTAGTTTATTACGACTATCTTCCATGGTCATTGACATTTGTGAATATTCTGTAATTCTTACAAATTTTGTTTGAAATGTGGTTAGGATTCAGATAGTGATTTGGTCATTTTGAAGTTAGCTTCATACTCTCTGTATTTATGCATCTATCTGTTAAGGAGGATGTGATAGGTACTCTTCCGTATCATAAATTGAGCCATAAGAAAAGCTAATCTTCTATTGAGAGACCAGGATAGACATTAGTTGTTTGACTGACTTTCCAATTGCAGAGGAGTTTGCAAAATCGGAAAGGGCATATCCCAAAACCTATTCAAAGACGTGCCACCAATCTTTGTAACTCTTATGGTTGCTGAGAAAAAAATTAAAGAAGAAATGCAAATTTCACCACTTTTAGAGGGTGGTTCCTAAACGAAACACAGTGTACTCTTGGTTTATTTGGAAAAAGTGCACCCTATTTTTTGTTCATACTTAACACCCTGTATAGTCGCATGATAGGTGTCCTGTGATTATATAGAAAATCCTATTTTTGAACATGATCCATCATTCCTCTAAATGGGATTAAGTGATATCAAAGATTAAGAAAATTGGATTTCAAAGCCTTCCCCATACATTTACAAATGTATAGGGAAGGCTTTGAGATCCGATTTTCTTAACTTTTGACAAGAAATCTTATATAAAATAACTTTTCTTATCTACTTAGTCATATACAGGGTGTTCCTTAAAGGCATGCTAATATTTTAAGGACGCCATATTGGGGCCAAATTCCGAGTGAATAAAAGTCAATTTTTTCAGGTTTTTATTATAATGACTGTTTTTCATATAAAGACGGAAAATTGGAAAAATAAAACCCGCATTTTTTTCAATAATCTGCGATGCCATGGAATTTTCTAAAACAAAAAGATATTCAGTTATCAATTTACAGCAGTTCGAAATGGATTTTATGATAGACTTGGTTACTGTCTTGCAGTTAATGGCGACTTATTCGAACATTTATTGTAAATTGTTATATTAGGAAACCGTTTTTAGTAATTTGGTCTTTCTTTATGTTGAATTCGCTGTTTTAAATATAATACTTTTTGATATAAATTGATTTGTTTTATAGCAGACATTCCATGGCATGACGGATATTGGCGTAGTTTTTTTATTATAAAATTCCATGGCATTACAGATTATTAAAAAGATGGGAGTTTTATTTTTCAAATTTTCCGTCTTTATTATGCAAAAATTACGGTTGATTGACGTAAAAAAAATTTTTCTACAAAAAACCTTAATACATTTTTGCTCTAAAATAATTTGGGGAGCCAATAATCGCATGCTATTTTACATTGAAATTCCTATGATGCGTTACGCAACTCACCACCCTGTATACAGTGTCCCCCCGGATGGACTGAACAAGAGGTTGGAGGATACCACATTGAATAAAATAAAATGTTCCTCTTAAGCTCTAAGGTGTCTTTTTTAACCTGATTTGCTTATCAGGTTGCCATGGAAGATACAATGATAGTCTGATTTAATCAAAAACATGCAACTTAGAAAAATTTCCGCTGTAGATTTTGCGTTTTTTGTAATTTTCTCAGCTGCTAAAAGGAACATCTAGATTTTTATTTCAGAATAGGTGGTTTTGAATCAAGCAAAAATTTTTATAAAGAATGACATTTTTGCGTAAAGTTAAAATTAAAATTTTTTTCCCTCTTGTTGAGTCCATCCGGGGACACACTGTGTGTATACATTCGTATACTGTGCCAGTACGGCGGCAAATGTTTCTGGCTACTGACGTCACGCGGGGTAGTCTCGCGCACAGATACCTACGTTTTCTTGCTTCGCGCCGACCCTTGATTTTAAAGTGCTTACAGCGGACGTAAATATTAATATTTCACCCAATTTTTTCTGATCGTTTTTTTAATAACAAAATCTCGATTTCAGTTAAAATAAAAAATGTCGAACCTGCCCATTGACGTTTGTTAATTTATAGGTTGACAGTCTCATCGGACAACTTTGAACAGACTCGTGAAACTCACATACTCAGGCGATGCCCTTGGCCATATTTATTATTTTTCATTTTTGTTAATAATAGTGTACCGGGTGACCCAATAAGACTGTTCCTCGGCCATATCTCGAGAACCGTTCGTCATATGACTTAGGGGTAAAAAAAATTATTGGGTAAATCGGTCATGAAGAATCACTGGAAAATATTTTCAAGTTCCAAAAATGACCACCAACAGAGGGCGTAACTGGCATCTTACATTTTTAAATTGCATTTTCTATAAATTTTGCATAATAAACTAAAAAAATTGTTTTCCGATTTTTAAAGAGAACCAGTTTATCTATCATTTTCGTAAAAACAAAAACTCAGTTATTTCAAAAACAAAGATGGTGTGGAGCGTTTAATTTGTTTTTGCAATAATCTGCTTTAACTTCTTAATCGTTTGACCAAAGAGTAACCATAATGTTTGACCGATTTTAACAAATTTGGTATGGTTGAAAAGAACATTCCTTGGGTAATGAGAATCAACCAACATATAGTTAATTTAGTTGAATCCTTCTCCGCCAGGGGGCTAGTTTTGACACTATGGTACAAAATCTTAAAAAAAATCAAATGGAATGATATGACTTTTTCTTTATAAAAAAGTAGGGAAATAACATCCAAAGAGGCCAGTGAAAACCGATTTTCAAAATCTCGTTCCTAACCTTAAATATTGGGAAAATGAGATTAATTAATTAATTAATAAAAATGCTTAACTTAATTTACTTTTTACGTATTTCCGGTATTTGTCTATGGCGCGAAAGAAAAGCACCCTACACTTTTAGGTATGCCTTAGAAAATTAAACAAATGAAACAGGATGCATTATAAAATAATAACAGCCGTAATTTGTAAATTAATCTGCTGTGTCTACATTCAGAAAGTGTAGTTTTTTGAATTTGTAATCTTTTGTAAAATGCCGATTTCTAACCAAGAAGCCTTTAATATTTTTTTTTACGAAAATGATAGATAAAAAGGTTCTCTTTAAAAATGCGAAAAAAGAATGTTTAGTTTATTATGCGAAATTTAAAGAAAATGCAATTTTAAAATTTAAGATGGCAGTTACGCCCTCTGGTGGTAATATTTAGAACTTGAAAATATTTTCCAGCGATTCTTCATAACCGATTTACCCAATAAATTTTTGACCTTGAAGTCATACGACGAACGGTTCTCGAGATATGGGCGAGGAACAGTCTTATTGGGTCACCCGGTACCTACTCACAACAGCAATCTTTTCTGCCCGTCCATGCGTCCGTTTGTATACCTATATGATATCTCGCGAATGGTTTCAGATTTTTCAATTCTGTTTTTAGTAATGGGTAGATAATGATCAAGAGACTAATTCATTTTGGTCATTTGCACTTTCTGTGATTCTGTCCGTCCGTCTCTGTGTGCATGATAACTCCGTTCCCTTTGCTATATTTGTTACAAGTTTATTTATAAGTCTACAAATACTGCTTTTGCTTTACAACCGTAGTGCACTTACTTCCCAGGTTGTAGGCTAACTTCACACTACATTAACAGGGAAATAAAATTAACCCGGGTAACGTTTGAAAATGGCCACCGGCGCCGGTGTGGCTATTCCTCCAAAAAGCTAATCAGATCCCACTTACATTTGAATGACGAGGCAAACCTTTTACTTTTGTTTTTGCAAATCGTGTGCAAATGCTGGAAGTGTTTTTATTGCATTTGAACGTGTGGGTGTCCGTATTTTAATTCGATAAATATAGTGCATTAATTCACCATGTTAACGACAGCCGAGACGGATGTTCAACTACCGCTGTCATCTTTAAATATTCCTCCTTTCGAAATATTCGATGAAAAATAGAAAGACTTTCGGGTATACCACGCGCATTTAGAAAATTATCTTAGGCTGAGGGAAGTTTACGGGGATAAAGAAAAATCCAAACAAGGTCCCCTTGGCGATCTATTGGAGCTGTTTACTATGAAGTCCTTAAGGCATTATTTACTCTTAGTGCAACGGCCTGACCTGTCTAATGAAGAGTTAGTAACGAGAAAAGCATTTATCGCCGGAGAAGTATATGCTAGTGTCGCAGCATTTTTCTCTATCGACCGTGCAAGGGGCAAACCAAAAAATTGCTGAATACGTAGCAGATCTACAGAAAGGTCTCAAATCCTGCCAATTTCTAATGAAGTGCGAATGCGACAGAGCACAATTTATAAGAGATATAAGAGATACCTACTTAGATTACAGAGCACTTAAAGGGGCAGTATACCCAAATTTCATGTTTTCGACTAAAGATAGATTAAAAATATCTAAGAGTAACGGTGAAAACCGCAAGTCGCTACGCCGTTTCGTTATTAAATGGCAAGGTGTCGAATGTAAAAAACGGTCGTTGTGACGTCATCCCGACAAATGGGTCGGTGACGCGCTATAGCAATATATGGATTCTATGACGTTTGACGTGTTAATTTGAGACTGGTACTCAGTGATCTGCATTATTTTCAAAAATGCTTAACTTTGTGTTTTCCGCTGCAACAATAATTTGAAAAATGCCAATGTTACATTGCATATTTTCCCCGAGAAAAGAAGGAGCAGTGTCAAAACAACGTCTGGAAAAGTAGAAAAAGCCGCTGAATCATAACATAGTCACGTCGTTTGCAGTGTCCACTTTAAAGATAATATTTTTTTTAGAAGATACAAGAAGGAAAGGACCCTGTGCCTCAGCATAAAGTTTTGAGAAGGCTGACAATACTTCAATCCCTTCTTTACATCTCACAGGCAACAAAGGTCCTAATAAAGCTATTAAACGTCAGTCAACTCATTATTATCTAAGAAAGTAAGATTGTGTCTGATTGCTTATTGTGGGTAAACGATCAATTTCGTAGTGGAGAAACCAGTTCAACATCAAACATATGCCACAATCAAACAGAAGAACTGAATCAAATGGAACCAATAACACTGAAAGCATAGGTATCCACTGTGAGCTGGGTACAGAAATTTAACAAATATATGAGGATATATGTTCGGATGATACTTCAGTAAGGTTTTCTTGTTTTTTTTTCAAAGGAAATCGAAATAGAATATGAAAGAACTGACGCGTTCGGACTGCTTGGACCCGTGCCACCGCACCCACGATGTCGGGATGACGTCACATGTTCTGTCTTTCAAACTTTCATCGTTAATAATTTGAAAACTACTCATCGTAGAAAACTCCGGTTTGAAATTTTGTTCTTAGATTCTCTTCTACAATTTTTTTTATTTTGGGTATACTAACCCTTTAATATACTAATCTAAGAATACCAAATACCAATATTGTTCAAAAAGCGATCGCGCTTGAGGCAGCCAGAGCAGATAGCCGCAGCGTCAAGGTCAATGCACCACCTTCATCGAGTGCAACCAATTCAGCACCGAATACCTCCATCAATGTAATGGCACCGGCGTCGACATCCAAATATCAAAGTGAGCCAAGAGCAGGCCGAGGCATTCCAACGGTCATGAATCTCGAGATTCTTCGACCAATTTCAGTAATAAATGAAGCCGGAGTAGTACACGAAGTATGCATGCATCCGAGTAAATTATGGTGAACTAGGTCTAGATGGTCTATGCCTGCGGTGTAGGTGAGACAATCACGTCGCGAAAGACTGCCGCAGTGATTCGAGTAGTGTGTCTTGCACTAAGTGCAATAAGACAGGGTACGTCGCGAGAGTGTGTATGAAGTCGCATCTACAGCAACAGGTATGAGGTAAATTTGGAATGATCACCTTTTCTCATCGATGATGAATCTGTGCTCCACCAGATTGTGTGAAAGAATGGTGATACATTCCAATTAATCATCACAAAATACGGTGACTACCAAAAGAAAACAAAAGACACTCTACTCCTGAGGTATATCGGTACCGAGTTTATGGCGGTGATACTATACATAAATTGAGATTTGATCTGTTTTCCAAAGACCTCGTAAAATCCAAATCAACTTGGCATCCCTACCACTAGCATTCGAAGGAGCCCGCAAACATTGCTTGAGAACTTACCTACAAATACAAACATGGATGGATCCTCTGGGGATGGCAGGCCTCAAAGTTTGGTTTTGACGCCATTTTTACTCCCAACGAACCAGCTCTTCTTTCCACAATTTTCTGAAAATGCAACCGGGGTGTTCAGGCGATTGCGGATGTCGAAAGGCTGGGATTAAGTGTTGAATGGTGTGTGCCTACGGTAAGGAAAACTCTTGTATTCCCTCTACTCCAACCAGATGTAATTCACGAACCAGATGTTCCCCAAGACCTGGACTTCATATATGCAGCGACGGAAATTACAGACTTTGAAGAGCCGAGTGATGGACTTCGTATCGGAAATAACAGACTTTGCGAAGCCGAGTGGCCCAACGACAATTAAACGCCGACGTCTGTCAAATTTGTCTATCTACCTATTCTTTTCCCTTTTCTTCATACTTTTAGCCAAATGGTACCCATACTCTATAAATTTTGTTATTTTGAAAGACTTATTGTTCAAGGATTGTGTATCAATATTAATGCAAATAGTGATATCGTACTATGTTTAATATAGTGTAAATCAGGGTGTAAATAGTAACACTTCTTCAGATTTTAAACGGGTCCGTCCGGAAAATATGCGTTTGGTCTCATTTAGGTAACGCCCTAAAACTATTATAATCGGAATGTTTTCGATATTGTCACTCATTTATAAGATATAATGTAAACCGCAAAAATTCCCTTTTTGTAGGTACATTTTTAACCCCCACCACTTAAGCACAACTCACATTGGACAACAAATGCATAAGGAGAATCTTTCATAACGCAAATTTATCTGCAAGTGATTTTTCTTGAAGATGAACTTTTCGGGACGAGTTTTGATACAGAAACAGAAAGAAATCTTAAAACCCAGTAAATCTTTTGGGGTTGAGCTTTCCTGAACGTGCATTTACCATAAAGAAAGATCGCGGGCGAATGAGTATTTCGATGGAGGGGAGTTTTCCTTGGAGGCAAAAAATCTTCAGAGGGCGAATCTTCCGGCTGTAAACCTTATAGGGGCAAAATATCAGGGGTATGGAGGTTTAAAAGCGAATTTTCGAGTGGCGCATTTTCTGAGGGAGAATCGTTCAGAGAGAAAATTTATCTGGATGCGAGTTTTCTTGAGGGGTAAATATTAGGGAGGATCCTTCAGAACAGCGCTTCTTTGGATCAAACTACCTAGCGAATTTCTAAACGTCACTACATCGCCCGAAATTAAATTTAACAGCATTGTTTAAGTAGGCACAAAAGTTTCGCGTTGCGATACGAGTAATAGATTGCGTAACGGTAAAGTTTACAAATTATAGTAAGTTTATTTTTAAGTTGACCATAAGTCATGGTCCGATCGAAATAATAAAAAAAATCATTCGCGTAGGCATCTTTGTTTTAAATCTGTCCTCGAAATTCGTTATCCGCCTTCTAAAACTTAACTTTTTTATGATTTCTAGGTGTAATTAGAGCTAAAATAATCTGCAATGTCATTAATACAATACGTAACCTTCTTGTCACATTTATCACATTAACCGAATTGAATTGATACATCCGAATTAGACGTAGGTGGAATTCCGTTTATGGTTTTATATAAAAGCCTTCTTTTACTAAGCAATATTCAGTATTACTGGGTGCAGACTGGAGAACAGCTAAGCATAAAAAAGTATAGTGAATTGTTCAACCATGATAGTGCACTTACTTATTACGCTTCTGTTCGTTACCACAGTTCTTTGCATTCCATCACTTTCAATAAGTTCTGATGGAGACTACATAAGAAAACATAAAGACGACAACCTGGGCGCGCACCATAATGCCAAATACGCTAGTGCTCACGGAGCTGACGGATTCAGGAGCGGAGCAGAAGATAGTTACTCAAAACAACGCGAGTCCGGTGGATATGCGGCGATAGATGAAGACAAAAATCATCACCTGGACACAGGTAATTACGCCGATCAAAATTTTAATAAGCACGAAGGTGGATCGCACGCGAACGCCGCCTCGAAATCCTCGCAGAGGAAAGGCCACCACAATTCCGGCTTTCATAACACTTACCACAAAGACGAAAGCAGCAATAAGTCCAGTTATTATGACGAAAACGACGAGGAAGGTGGTAACGAACACGAGAAGAGCCATTCCGGAGCGCACGGTGTTTTGAAAACTTCAGATGACGAAAGAGGGCACTATGACGATTCATATAAGCAGAGAGAGAACTACGAGAAAAATAAACACGCCGCAGGAAGACGTCGCCTTAAGAGTGCCGAGGATAACGTAAACTACAACCACGACAAGGTCTACGCAGACAACGACCACTTCGACAAAGTACGCGATGGTACCCACGACAGAGTTTCAAGCGACTACTACAGGGATAAGCATTACCATCCAGGACACGGTCACCGCGTTTTGTACGACACCTTCGATCACCCCGACAAATCGACCATTACCATTTACGAAGATCCTCACGTGCACCCTGACAGACTTCATCATGAAAGGCATCATCGCGACGGTCATGACTTGGATGACGTTCACCTGAGAGTTGTTCCGTCACATGCAAGATTTGACTACGATGATTACTAATTTCATCCGTATGAATTAGCTTCTTTGCGTTTGTTCAACCATTCATAGTTTGTTATTGTATGGCCGTGGGACATTTGAAGCAAAGAATAAAATAAAAACATGAACAACGGACTTTTTTTATTATATACATATTTTTTTTAATTTTCCTCCGTTTTTGCCATCATGTTCTTACAAACAGTACAGCCCATGTAAGCGTAATGTAAATGTGTTTCTCCCTTTTCCCGGTAGGTACTTATTTAGGGAAACAACAAATAATGTTACATGACTCGGCTGAAAGTTGATTAGACGGCAGTCCGAGCCGATCCGCACATATGCATATCCATAACACATTTTCTCGCGTTTACCTAAATACGTGGATCGTGACGATTTTCTTGACTGCACGAGGTTCGGCTCGATAAAAAATTGTGTACCTACATGTTCACGAATATGCTCGGCTTGTGGCTCAGTTTAAAGTTTGAGTTGTAGCTCGGTTCGATAATGTGGATCCGGCTTTAGAGTTAACACTTTCATTTCATTCACAAACGTGCTCAAGAAATTTGCTTAAAATCATCACACTGAACGCCTACGAATTGGCGCTAAAATAAGGAACTTCAAGACGTAGGTTTTAATCTCTGAAATCACGTACTTATACAAAAAATTCTTGATTAGTTTAATCAATTCTGATCAATGATGATAACTCCGCAGTAACACTATACTCAATACTGCATCGAAATCCTTTTGCTATGACGTTCTACGTTCTCTTTTAACAGCATTGGTCTAGCGTAGACACACTACTCTCACGGTGAGATATTATGTAGAGCCAGCCAATTCTAAACTTGCTTGACCTATTTGTGCAGTTTTAACCATACGTTGGGAATATTCTACTTAATTCCTTCATTCTTCGTTCTGTGGAATCTGATGCAAGATTTATACTAACGCCATTTTTATTTGTATACTAAGCTCTTTCAAAATGTCAACTCAATTCTTCAAAGTAAATTGATTCCCATGATCAGATAACAACTCGTGTGGCTGTCGGCATGTGGTTCCAGAATTTGCTCATCGAGGTCTCTGATTCGCCTTCCTCTTATAGGGGGGAAGGGGGGTGGGGTTCATATTAGATTTATCCCTCTAACAAACCTGTTTTATCACCACCGCTAACGCATCTCTTATCTCTTCAACTTCAACTTCAACTTCAACTTCAACTTCAACTTCAACTTCAACTTTAACTTCAACTTCAATTTCAATTTCAATTTCAATTTTTCAATTTACATATACATATTAATCTTCCCCTTCTCAGTACTTCCCAAAACGGAGCGATTTAGCAGACCTAGCATCTCTTTAACAGCCTTCCCACTGCGACCAGGGAATTATGCACCTCAAAGTTCAAATCTGTGATCAAGACTTTTTTACTGGAGAATGCGTTTTATTCGTTTGATGAATTTTCAGCAGCATCAAAAGGATGCATTGCATAGACTATTAGATTTAATCTGTGATATTGTTTATATACACTGTGTAGTTACTTTTATAATGAATTTTTTACTTCTAATGTTGACCAATGTAAGTGCATGGCACATAAACAGGGCTAAATATATTATTATTATTATTATTATTATTAATTTCAATTTGTCAATTTCAATTTTTCAATCCCAATTTTTCAATTTCAATTTTTCAATTTCAATTTCAATTTTTCAATTTCAATTTTTCTATTTCAATTTTTCAATTTCAATTGTTCAATTTTAATTTTTCAATTTGAATTTTTCAATTTGAATTTTTCAATTTGAATTTTTCAATTTGAATTTTTCAATTTGAATTTTTCTTTTTCTTTTTCTTTTTATTCAGTCTATTTCTATTTTTTAAAACATTTTTATTTCCAATTTTCTATTTTATTTAATTTTAACTTATTTAATTTAATTTTTTTGTTTAAGTTACTTATTTTAATTAAGTATTTTATTTTATGTAACAACGAATTTGGTGGTGAAATGAAATGTCAAGTATGCGAAATTCGCCACAGATAGGTGCATGTTGATAATATATCACCTTTCAACTTTTGTTTGTGATGCATCTGTGGTAGCCACATTTTATAAAGTGGCTAGCCGTTTTATAAAACGGCGAAATTTACAATGTGGCTACGACACATCCACCTTAAAAAGAAAAGGTGAAATGTTGAGCAGTAAAGCATAAATTACTGACATTTAATAGATGGTTTATTAAATTTTGCTGAGAATAATCGTAAATCAAATAAAATTATGCCAGACATATTAAGGCAAATGGAGTTTTAGATTTCAAGCGGGACTACTAAGAATCCATTATCTGAGAGTTCGCATTTTACCATATAAACTCAAATACATTGCGGAATAATAATGCTTAATATACCTGTTACGTTACAACTAGGTGAATAAGGAATGTTGAGATTTGGATGCCTTAAGATAGAATGCGTATTCATTTTTGTTAAGGGTTTAAAAAAGGCGGACGTTAATTGCACGAAAAAAAAAACGTACACAATGCGTTGTGGGTAAAGTAACACCACATACACCCTAGCCAACTGACACTACAACATATCTCACCAATCACACAGGGACTCACGGGACTTCGTATACACGGTCAAATTCCTAAAACACCTAACGCTGTTGCGCCCCTAGGAAGAGAAATACCCATTTTTCTATACTAATTTTATACCTTGTATTATGTACCTAATATCTACATAATTCCTTTAATGTAAATTTCTAGCTGAAGAGGACATTTCCCTGAACAGCTACCATTGTGTAATATGTATGTCTCAATTAACTAATAAACGTTTTTGATTTGATTTGATATTCCAAGATTTTTGTCATTCAACATTCGGTAACGATTAGACGTATATAACAAACTTTCCGTTTTCATTCTAATTACACTGGCCCGCTTCATTTATCTCATCCCGAATATACATACGTAAAGCAGTATTTATTATCTTATTTTATTTACATCCGAAATAAAATTGCATTTCTACCCGCGCTGTTTCTTTATATTGCTAATTCGCTTTTTTAAATAAAATACCAACTTGGGTTATGAATAAATGAAATAATTAATTTCCTTACAATTCTAAAACACATTCGCTCATAGAGTTATCGCTGCGTATGTATTTTTACTAATCGCGCAAATGTTACTTCTACTCTCGTTGTACTTCCGTTTTAGTTACTTGTAATTTACTTTTCCTCGCATTCGATTAAATTGCGAGCAATAAATACCGATAGAAAGGGTGTTAGAAGAATGGAACCCTAAACGCTAACTTTTATTTTACCAGCAATATTGTCTTAACTCCTGGGACCGCTAAACAAATTAGATGTAATTTAAAAGCGTAGAAGAAATGTTTCTATTAACATCTTTAGCGCGTTATACTTATAACACGAATAAAATAAAAAAAAGTGTTCTTGCAAGTATAATAACAAAAGTTTGGCAAGGATTTGTTGGAGTAATTAGGCATGACGACTCCGCGCTTAGGTTGCCTGTATAAAGTTACACTTGAAACTTTCGTATCTGAATACTGCACCCGAGCTGCAAGAGGCTACCAATTATACGGAATTGTTAATTTATGTAAACGAATTTCCTAAGTTGACTTGGGATCAAGTTTACGAATATATTATTAGAATGTGAAACTTTTCGATTATTTTACGTAGTGTCGTTTTGTGCTCAGTGCCGATATGCAGTTACGATTAGTAGTTCATGACCTACAGGTAATTAAACTTTCATTATCTTTGATCTACCAACATTAATGCTATAGACTTTTAAGCTCTAATGAACTTTTAGGGCGAAACAATAAGAGAAACTAACAGAAGAAAACGTTCCTAATATAATTTGCCCCGATCATTTTTGCCATAATAAAGTGATATACTTACAAACATCAAACGCTATGAAATAAATATGTAGGTACTTTTGAGAGGGAAAAAGTTTGCGATGAGTTATTGGAAACGTCCGGTAAAGATTTCTGGATGAAATTGAAATATTCATGTAAGTCAAGCAGAAATGTTTTGAAGGCAAAGGTATTTCATTTCTGAAATGTCCCTTTAAGATGTTTTGTCGCTAGGTTACATCCAGCTATTATATTTTCAAAGTAATATTATATCCTCTTGACAATTCTTTGACCATCATTCGTATATTACTTGATATAATAAAATTACATTCCGTTCCAGAAAACAGTATTGTAGATATTATGTAAAGTGTGCTTTTAAGGACTCGAATAGTCGACCCTATCAATAGAAGATAAAGATCTTCGTTAGTAAATGGTATAGTTGAACAGCTACTTATAACCTGATTTAACAGTTTCGTAAATGACAATAAGTAGAAGCTTCCCCTTCTAATAGTATTTTAGATACCACCGAAATGAAAAAGTACAAATGATATATAACAATGCACAGTTGGGCACAATTGAGACACAATTCATAATTTTATTTCCTTGCGGTAAAATTGTTTGGTTTAAATTTCGACTTAAATAAACTAAATAAATATAGAAAACGAGCTCCTGGGTATGGCTATAGCAGATGCAAAACCAAATTTTAAACCTGGTGTTAGTTTTGTTTGTATTTAAATATATGTATGAAATTTCATTTAATTGCTTCCATAAATATGAAAGTTGGCACTGCACATCCTACACAAAACCAAATTTGGAAAATAGCGCTACATTTGCTTTTATTCCAAGTGGATATGTATCAAATTTTATTTAAATGTCTCCGTAAATAAGAAAGTTGACACTGCGCATGCGCAAAACCAAATTTTGAAACTGGCATTAAATTTGTTTTATTCCAAGTGGCTATGTATCAAATTTCATTTAAATACCTTCATAAATAAACAAGTATAAATTGTGCACAGCTCATGCGGATAAAGCGCATTTTTAAAACCGAAATAGCGTTTGTTGTGACATCACTAATGGATATATTTGTTGCAGACGTCTCAATCGCCCTTTGTGAGTACCCCCTTCCGACAATCCGTTCTTGAGGTAGAAGGGAATATACCCGATCACGATAAGTGGTCGAGGAGGAGGGCTATGGTTGGTAGAAATTAATTCCTTTCGTTGAGACCTTTCATTAGAGTACCATGAAGGATAAAACTAGTTCCACTCCCCCCCCCCCCCCCTCCCCCCGTACTTTGATAAGAGGACA